ATTGCCCTTTTTTTCTTTTTGTGGCGCTGCAGTGCCATTGGCACTGCAGCCTCCTTAGACTTCAGATGCAGCTGCATTATCTTTGTTTACAGAACCAAGGAGAGCTCCCCTAAGCATCTACTCTACTCTGATCTGAGTGACAGAGGAGAGAGGAGGGCGTCCTGGTGTCTGAGGTCTGGTAAGTTTAATTCAGGGGACTGGGGTCTGCACTGGGGAGGTGGGGATAAGTCTGTATTGGGGGTAGGAGGTCTGTTAGGGGTTGAGTCTGTATTGGGGGTGAGATCTGTACTGGTGGGGATTGGGGGGGATCCATACCGGTGAAGGTGGAATTGTTTTGGGAAGAGGTGGTAATTTTTGATGACCCCTGTACTCCATGTGTTACCTACTGATGACCCCTGTACGCCATGCATTACATTTTGGTGCCCCAAACTGCATACTGTATTCTATATGTGGTATTGAAAGTGATTTATAGAAAAGCAAGACTGTATTAGCATCTTAAGTTTTATCTCCCTTTTTATATATCCCAATGTTTCTTTTGCAGATGCACCATTGTGTATTTCTGAGGTAGAAGAGGCTCTCATGCTCTTATCTCCGTTATACTGCAGAAATCATTAATGTGCACAGTTTTTAATAGTCATGAGTAGATGTTGCGGAGCAATGGATCATATTTTGTATTGGGGTCCAGAAGATTTTAGCTTCACAGTTTAGGATAGATAGTAGAAAATTTAGGCCCCATTCAGACTTGTGAATGGGGCTGATTAGACGAGTCTCGCAAATTGCTCTGTGAGACGCATGGAAACAGCTGGGGGCAGGAAATACTGCACAAACCAATGGCAGCTGATAGGGCCGCAGCCATTTGCAACTGTTTTAATGTATTTATATGTGCTGTGCATACCAGGGGATGATCGTCCCTGTAGGGAAAGAGCTTCCATCCAAGGGCGATTGCTGCAGGTAATGGCGCAAGTCTAATTACATGCGAATGGTTGTGAAAGGCTGCGGTGCTGTCAGCGGTCATTACTTTGTATAGCGCTTCCTGTTCACATGAGTCTCACAGAGCGATTTGAATCTAATAAGCCCCTTTCACAATTGTAAATGGGTAATTGTGATTGTGAAAAATGATTGGGGATAGGAGGGCAAACACAAAGGTCTGCTAGGCTGTGACTTTGATCCTGCCATCATGTCTATATGAGGACTTGGACTGTTCTCCCTTTAAACATCTGCACTGCCCTTTTGGCACCTCTCCAATCACTTTCTCATAAATCATTTCAGTGGAAATAAAAAGCAGTCTCTGCAGATAATCAACATAGATGATCCAGCATTCCTCTGCTGTGTTAAGCTCTTCAAGGCTGTGCGTGAAGTTTTTTAATGAGCATGTTTATACACGGACATGACAAACACAAATTTGCCACCGTATGTACAGTTTGAGCCATGATCAAGCTTCTCCTAAATCCTGGAATACTTACTATGGGTTGAGAGCAGTTTTTAAAAGCAAATTACAGCTTTTGAAAATTAAATACAAACTAACTTCCTCTTGCCTAAGGGTAGAAGGGTAAAGATAAAAGGAACTCTTTATCCTTTGTCCTCTGTGTTTAGTTATGAAATAGATGTGCTAAAATTGTCACTTTGCCTTCAGTGGCTCCCTCTGCTATCTGATAGTAATATGTGTTGTTTTTACATACCTGTTTTCACTGAATTGCCTTCTTGAGTATTTAATCTCTGATCTTTTTTTTCCCCTGTACAGTAGTACTTTAACCATCTGAAAATTATATTAATAGGAACACTATACTGGCTTAACGTTTCATTTTATTTTTCCATTTCAGTTTATAAACTGATTTTTTAAATATTTGTTATGGTTTATATAACATTTTATAACATTTACTATAAGGGGGAACTCAAGAGTCACAGAGAAGTATGTGTTTTCAGAAGATAAAAACAATAGAGACTGTTTGCCTTCAGGCTCTCTCTCCTAATGAAACCTTGCATGAAGGTCTTTGAGCACAGCATGAGAGGAGGAAGGAGGTAGAAGAGTAACAAGTCTGGCTTTGCTATATCTATGTGTAATTCTCAACCTGAGCTATTAAGCTGTGTAAACAGGCTTTTTTTTACTTAAGCTGGATATACACAGTTATATTTTCTTCGTTCATCCTGCGGGCTGAAGGAAGAAAATATAACAGATTCCTCCATCGACACTTATGAGCGTGCATGGAGGATTCCCCTGCTGTTTCCATTGTATTCTTAAAGCAGCCACTGATTAGCTGCAAGCTCTGTTCAGCTAAGAATTTTTCAATCTGCTCCTTCGATCAGCTGATCAAGGGATGTCAGGCAGAAGGGTGCTGGCAGCAGTACCCACTGTGTGAATTTTGGACGATTCATCAAGAACAAGCTGAAATTTGCACCATGTATAGTCTACTTAAAGGAGAACTATGGGGTTAAGGCTTTTCCCCATAGTTCTCCTTAGGGTAACGGGAGGACACAAACTAGCGTCCTCCCGTCACCCTAAGCTCAGTATACCGCGAGCTACAGCTCGCGGGATACTGAGACGCCACAGTATATCGCAAGCTACTGCTCGCGGTATACTGAGACGGCGCACCTGGAGCGGATCCCGACAATTATGTCTGGATCCGCCCAGCTGCGTGAGTGACAGCTGGCTCTGTCTATCTAGAGGCAGAGCCACCTGTACCCGCCCCCTCCCCCGTCCGATCCGTCAGTCAGCGCTGGTGGATCAAAGCGGGGAGGGGGGAATCCAGCCCCTCCCCTGTCATGGCAGAGGACTGTGACAGGATCGAGAGGTGAGCGAACGCCGGTATGTGTTCACTCACCTCCCGATCTACTGAGCCGACCTGTGACAGTCTCATTGTCACAGGTCGGCTAGAACTATGAGGTGAGTGAATAGCACTCATGACAGGCTTGTAGCCAAACCAGCATTTTAGAAAAGGTCAGGATTAGCATCCCTCACATTTCCCTCATCACAGGTGCACTTTATGTAACACAGAACTCTATATTTAATGTGTTGCTGAAAAAAAAAATGATATACTGTATGTGAAAAGCACTCACTTAATAACATGGGTGCAAAAAATTAAAAAAGGGCCTCAGTCATGAAGGGGTTAAGTCAAAAGAAATGACCTGGAAAATTTGGAAAAAGGGCCTAGAGCACCACCTGCTGGCTGTAAATGAGAGTACAAAATATTCATCTGTACCATTTTATTAGGTGTGCCTCTTTCAAACCTGATAGACAGTCGTAGAGTCAACTGAAGAAGTACACATGACAGGCTGACAACACTGCAGCTAATTGTGAGGCAGTGACTTAGCATTGTCAGCCTGAAAACAGAAGTGGTGTTACTGGCAGGATCTCCATTTGATTTTTTCAATAGATTCACAAAAAATATTTGCTTAAGAAAACTTTCAAGCCTGTCATGTGTACTTCTTCAGTTGACTCTACGACTGTCTATCAGGCTTGAAGGTTGCAGTCCTCTATAGCTGATGGTCTTATTCTGCATTGCTGTATAATATATTGCTGGGATTTGTAGTCCTCTATAGCTGGTGTTATTCTGCATTGCTGTCTAATGTTTTGCTGGGATATATAGTCTTCTGTAGTTGGTAATTGTCTGCATTGTTGTATAATGTATTGTTGGGATTTGTAGTCATCTATAGTTGGTATTCTGCATTGCAGTATAATGTATTGCTGGAATATATAGTCTTCTATAGTTGGTGGTATTCTGCATTGCTGTATATTGTATTGCTGGGATATGTAGTCCTCTTCTGCATTGCTGTATATTGTATTGCTGGGATATGTAGTCCTCTATAGTTTGTGGTATTATTCATTCCTGTATAATGTATTGTTGGGATTTGTAGTACTCTATAGTTGGTGGTATTCTGCATTGCTGTATAATGTATTGCTGGGATATGTAACCCTCTATAGTTGGTGGTATTCTGCATTGTAATATAACATATTGCTGAGATTAGTTCCTTTACAGGTTGGAGTCAGTGGCAGAACTACCAGGGTCACAGCGGTCACAGTTGTACTGGGCCCTGGTGGTCCACCACTGACTGCAAGCTATAGAGAGACTGTTCCCTTGCAGTGTGCTGCGTGACATGTACCTTAGTAGCACACTGCAATGGAACTTGTCACTCATTAGCACAGTGCAAAGGTACGTCACTCTAGTGTAGTTAAAACCTCTTGTATTGTATTTTCCTTCTAAGATTTAAACACATAATTAGTTCACAGTCGTATGAAGTGTTTCTGAAAGAAATCATCAGTATTCGGGTCTAAGTGCAGGGTTGGCACTTTGAGACACTTAAGTTGGTTTAGTGATCCAGTTTCGGCACTCGGGCTCAAAAAGGTTTGCCATCACTTGTATATGTAATCTTGAATAAATGTATGCATTGCTGGTCTCCTTTTGAGAAGACTAACTGCCTGGCTGTGCCTGAGTTCAATACTGTGAATCACTGACTTGGAACAAGCACACAGAGTGAATTAGTAACTCCTTCTCTGCATACTTTGTCCAGATCACTAGTTTAGAAGATACTGAAGTCATTGGATTAGCAAGACAGCCATGCAGCTAGCATTTTCACAAGGGGAGAACAGCAATGGCAGCCTCCATATTCTCCTAGCAGTTTGTTTCTTTTTTTTTTTATAAGAGCAGGCAAATTATTTTTACACATAGCACCATATAGGACCTAATAAAAATTGTCAACTAAAGTATTTATTAGCCTTTACTTTTCCAAGTTTAAAGACTGAGGAGTATTGCTGCAGATCTAATACAATTTATATTTAATATTTTTTATATGATGTTTTACATTATAGTTGATATGAATTCATATTAATTGATGCTCATATATTAATCATTTTTATATTCTAATTGAAAAGGGTGAAAAAGAGTAATAAGCATCATCATTTGAATATATGTTTTAATGGATGCTGTTATTTTTGTTTGACACAAGTGAAAGTGATCCCCAGACTAGGATTTTCAGTAGCCTGTCTGCGGTTCCTTGGTGCACTATTAATACAGCCTTCTGCTACAAAAGAGGAGAGATCTGGGAGGAAGCAGCTGACTGGCAGACAGAGAGAGAGGAGGATGCTGGGCAACAGGTGGTCTTGAGACATGCTGGCTGAGGGACCGCTCACAGCAAACATGTCACACACTGATGTGCAGGGGTTTGCTCGATCATGCTGCCTGCATACACCGCTGATCCTTGACAAAACCTCCATGTGCCCATAGCGACGTCCAGCCATGGCTGTCAGACATGAGCTTGGCAAGACAATCAGGAGAATAGCTCGTCTCTTTTTCTGGTTCCCCAAATCGCTGAGAATTGCCAGGGGTAGGAAATTAAAGCTTCTCTGGAGAGCTGCAGGTAAGGCCATCTGATCATATCTATCATTTTCATTTTTGCATTTTACAGATATAATGTTTCCTGTGTTAACTGAATTGTATTTAGCATTTGGCATGATTTTCTGCCAATAAAGCATGTTGGAGGAGGTAATCTGTTATTGCTGCCTGTGTAGCGCTGTAGGCAGTGAAAGGGTTAGACTATATGTAATGTAGTGTGGGCCTGCAGCACAGTGCATTGCAGAGACATGCACACAATGGAGAGAGGATATTTCTGCACTGGCTGTGTATCTGCTTTAGATGGAATGGATTCATTTCATCCTATCACCAGTGCTGCTGATCAGTTTCATGTCTGCAGCACACTATGCAGCATTCCCACCAATGAAGGTAACTGCCTGCCTCAATGCATGCAAAACAAACCACAGCTTAATGCTATTTCTGCAGATTTTCATTAACCCATTTAGCTTTTCTTTTCATAGGACCCCATTTTTTTTATTTAAGATGCCGCATTTTAACATTTTATTGGTAGCTTAGAGAATACACTATAGGTTACAATGTACATGAGACTGCAGCAGAGACAGTTGAGCAAGGAGGTAATCCAGTGTATGCTTCATGTTTTGTGTCTTATAATGACAGCAGTGGTGTTTTATGAAGCGTTGGTGGATGCTGCTCTGATAAAACGTTGGTGAAAGTGTAGACACATGGAAAATGAGATGTATGTTGCCTAATTCTACATCCTCAATGTATTTTTAGAAGAAAATGGTCCAGGGGATGCATTATGCACATTTGTTCTTTTATTTAATTTGTATCCTCACATCTACTTGTTTTATGTTTGTTTTCACATTAACATTATACAGTGTTGAAATATTTAGGAAGTATTGGTAAAGCTGTGTTTTTATGTGGGTGTATAGTGCACCCTTGAAATGAAAGTGTTATGGTAAACATATAGCCTGGTATAATGTATTCTGTATCTTACTAAGTGTATGCTGTCACCTTATAAGCAACCATAACTGTTCCTTGTCTGTAAAGGTTCTCATTCATCCAGGTCATGGTATATCTGTACAAAATAAGTCAAGGCAACTGGACTTGCTGTATTTTTCTTGAAGACGTTTCACTGGCCATCCAACCAGCTTTCTCAATTCAGAATGACTTGTACAAAAAATTATCTGGGAATAAATATGGTGAGTGTTAAGGTGGCCATACACTCTACAACCATCGCAAGACTTTAGTCTTGCGATGGTTGTACAGGGATTAAAAAAACGTACGATCTGCCTATCTTGGACAGGCAGATCGCACTCTCGATCATCGCAAGCCCGCCCCCCTGAGGGGCGGGCTTCCGATGACCGCAATGCTGAACGGGCAGTGTGCACGTGCGCACACCGGCCCGTTCGGCATTTGTCTTCCGAGCACCGTTCTAACCAGCCGAGAATCGTACGATTCCCGGCTGGTTTTCGAACATGCTGGTTCGACAGAAGACGTGCGACCGTACAGTAGAAACGGTCGCACGCCTCCGTTCACACTGCTCGATTATCGTACGAAAAACCGATCGCATACGATTATCGTACGATAATCGTGCAGTGTATGGGCACCTTTACTCCAATCCACATAATCAATCAACACCTGGTTGTGACTAACAGATTATATGGATTGGAGTAACATTCACCATATTTATTCACAGATAATTTTTTTGTACAAGTCATTCTGAATTGAGAAAGCTGGTTGGATGTCCAGTGAAACGTCTTCAAGAAAAATACAGCAAGTCCAGTTGCCTTGACTTATTTTTTACAGATATAACTGTTCCTTATCTCTTATCCTTCTAGATTGTAAGCTTGGGCAAGGCTCGTATGTGCCTGTTAAAATATTGGCCCTGGTATATTATTTTTCCAACTTGTGCTGCAGCATAGAAGATAATGGTGCTTTAAAATCAACAGTAATAATAACAAATATTCATTGGCTAAGTCCACCCAAAATTGGTATTTCTTTTATCGGCAGATGAAAGTAGACTGAACTGCTCAGTGGCTGAGTTGAGATCTCCCCTCTAGATTTCCCCTCTGCTTCTTCAATGAGGCCATTACAAAATCAAGTGTCGGTATCTTATTCCTTCTGCTGTATCCTATGTAATGTAAAATAAATGAATGGTTAGAGAACTCGGGTGAGAGTGAGGATGCATTGTAGAGGCCGCAGACATTGTTTAGAGGGCTTGAGGTATGAGAATGATGGGTGATTCAACTCTTCACCAAAATAGGACCAAAAATGTAACTGTCATTTTTTATAGAATTGACATTTGAGGGCCCATTCACACCACATCCAGATCATCTCCAGACCAGACCAGATTGTTTCCGGACCCAAAATGCATCCTAATGTATCCCTATGCTATTTCTGGCCTCTGTTTACATCAGTGCAGTCCTTTTAGACCAGAAAAATACTGCATTTCTCATTTTGTCTGGTCTGGAATGCACTGGAACGCATCAAAAATGCATACAAACGCACTGGAACGCAGATGAAAGCCCATTGTAAGCGTAAAAAATAACCCACCTCTGGAACGCGTCAAAATCGTGGTAAAAACACGGCAAAACACAATACTCTGCGTTCCAGATCTGGTCCGGAAAATGGTGTGAACCTGCTCTGAATGTAAATAGTGTTGCCTTATCTGTGCACAATGACCATTTAATATGCTAAATGAGAATGTTTATGTAAATTGCAAACTTATATATTCCAGTGTGGAAAGGGAATGTTTCTGTACATTGCCAACTTATTGTGGCATGTTTTTAAAAGCGGAACACCAGGCACAAACACAACTTTTTAAATTCTTAATTGTCATAACGTTACTTCTGGGCAGGTGTGTTGGACATAAGTAAAAATTATCTTTACTTTTAATTCATACATTTGTATATGCCTGACAACTTTTACTATACTTCCAGCACTGTGACCTGCAGCTCTGTACACGGAGGCCATACTGTCCACTCCCCCCCACCCCCTCAACCTCCCTCTACTGAACATTATGGGGGGAATTTATCAAAATTGGAGCAGAGAGAATATTGAGCAGTTGCCCATAGAAACCAATCCGCTTCTCTCTTCTTTAAATGAAATCTTCTGTTCATTTAAACTTTGAAAATGATGAAGATAGATGCTGATTGCTTGCTCCGGGCTCCAGATTTTGTCTGTTCAAGGTTTAATAAATTCCCCTCCTTATGAATGGTTCACAGAATACAAGTTTTTGGACTTATCTTAAGCTGGCTTCCTGGAGCTCCCCTGCTGCATCCCACATTGATTGTTCCACTTCTGGGAGCTTCTCTGAGGACTCAGGCGGCTGTGCCACTCAGTATCCTGTTGCCGAAAAACACAGCCAAACTTCTGGCTTCTTCTCCTGGCTCCCCATTGGCTAGTGGCCTGTATGTAATCATTTAATCTCTATCAGACTTGTTTCATTGGTTTGATGACTGGATAAAATACCACACAGCTTATTTCTTTATACTGGACATTGTCAATACCGTGTTTCCCCGAATGTAAGACACAGTGCCTTTTTATATATTTTTTTTGGCTCAAAAAAACACACTAGGTCTTATTATCAGGGTAGGTTTTATTTTCGGAGAAACAGGGTAGTAACCAGTCTAGAAGCCTCAGTGCTGAGATCTGATTGGTTGCCATGGCATTCACGGCAAATTGATAGGTTCTCTTGAAAGTCCCCCCTCCAGGGATACTTAACTTTCCGGCTCTCCCCCTGCTCCATTCCCCTGTCAGTGGATACTTTCTGTAACTCCTTGTTGGATAGTATCAGAGTTTAAACAGGGTTAATGACCTTCTCCTATCCTTTACATGACAGTGTTTAGGCCCGGTGACTGCCCTGAATGAGGAAAGTGACATATTTCCCTAGGTACCTGTGAGAAAGGGTCCTAGTCTTTGAGGTCAGTCACAATGACTTGGATTAGCTGTCTGTACTATTCGAATACATTCCAGTGGTACTGATCATGCAGGAAAAGAAAACCCCCTGGTGAAGGAAACATCAGAAGGACTCTGCCTGAAGAACTGCTCTCTTATGTAAGACCTGTTGATGATATCAATTTGTTAGAGAGGAGAGCCAATGATATCTTCTCCAAAACGCAGAACAGAAAACCTCTCTGTGGTGGAAACCTCTATCATACCATGGAATTGAACCACACTATATGAAATATTGCTATGAAAAATATCTCTTTCTAGGTTTGTGCATGTGTTTTCTTACACCTCCCTATATTTATCATAGTTTACATTTTGTAAATGAATTACTGTAACTCAATAAAAAGAACTCAAACATTACTCTTTAGCAGGGCTGGACCAATCCTAGTAGCCCATAAATGCATCTGGCTCCCTAATGCCTAAGTCTGCACACCTTCCATGATCTCACTCTTCCCCTTTTAGATTTGTAATGTATTTTAGATCATGAAAATTACACAGAAGGAGCAATAACTTCTGAGAGGACATTTTGAGGCAAGAGGAATGAGACTTTACCCTGGGCAGGAACAGTCAATTGTGTTGAAACCAATGGTGTCAGATCTCACTGCGGGAGTCCCTAAGAATAAAAATCCAGTGGATGACTACGTCCCATAAACTTCACCTGTAGCTGGAATATCACTTTTGGCTAGACTTGACCTTAAACATTTTTATTAAATATATCAAGCATTAGATAAACTCTTAGCTTTGCAAATACACACAACAATGATAAGAGTCTGTATGTTTACTGATAATAGTTCATAAAGCTAAATGGCAAAGCATGGAGCTCAAACAGCAGCATATTCCTGGGGTTATTACTGGCTTCTGCAAAATTTTCATTGCATTATGCCCAGCCATTACATTATTTGCAGCCACATACAATCTGTAATACCCAGATAAACACAGTCCAGACATAATATAAAATGCAGACATTTACAGGTAGGTCTATTTGACAACTGTCATTGGTGCATTTAGCATTATTGTCAACTTCTTCTTTATTATACAACCTATTGTGGCAATTGCAATGATCATCTTCATTCTTGGTTCTGTTTATAGTAA